CTGTTACAGTTTCAATTTACAGGTATCTACTGTTACAAAAGCTATAAAATAGCTTACTAAAGAATGTTCTATTAAGCATGCATCTAAAATCGAATGCATGATGCATGCATTTGATTTTTAGCAACATTACGACACACATGATATAAAAGCGACAAGTGCTCAAGTGATGTATGTTTTCACGCTTGAAATTAGCATTGTAACAGTGCCTTTACAGATACTTTAACTAAGTTTAACTAAAAAAACTCGTAAAATTTACAACACACTTTTTTAAACTTAGGTACTATCAGAATCCTCATGTCAGGTAGCAGTAGCACTTGTAGCTATGCCAATGAAGAAAACAAAACTGCTTAACAATACCCACATACAAAAACTTAGTTTTAAAAGTCTAAGAAAGAACTTGGTACCAAACACCACTCCTTTAATTCCCAGGACGCGAATAAAAAAGTTTCCACTGAAAATAAATTCAGTAGAAACTTATTAGAATATTCGTTGCTCTTAGACCAGCCCACGTTTGTCGGGAAACTATAGCGGGTGAAGATTAAAACTTGAATAATATATTGTGAAACGTTCGTGAATGAATTTCTGGACATGTATCTATATGAAAATATTGACGACCAGACGTAGACGACATATTGGTTTTTGATGGGATAAACTATTTTCTATCGAGGGTGTAGGTAGTAGAAACTTATTTGATATGCAGGTAAGGAAATGAAGATTAATTCAGTGGACAGAGAATAGCCATTGATAGTCTATAACCAAGCTACTGTCTCTGGAACAATCTGTATTGTTTAAACTTAAGACAGATTTGATGACTCTTTTAATAAACGTTGTGTGATATCATGATTTTCGTGTATCATAGGTACATTTACATACAAAAAATCTGCTACCATATCACACGGAGACCTGTAGCAACTACATGTTTGTTAGCCACAACTGGACTAATTCCATTAATTATTTTCTATTGAAACTTAGTCCAGAAGCATATTTAAATTCACCAAAATTCTAAATTTTTAGCAGCCTAACTTAAAATATGAGAAGACGATCGCGTTGATAGTATCAAGTAACCAGCTAGTGTACGAACAAGTTACAACATGATACTCACATGGGGAGCCGAATCGCTCTGAAATATTAAACCTTCGGTCAGGGAGACGGATCGTAATAAAAATGTGCTTTATTTTTGCACTTTGATGCTTTTAGGGAGGACTCTGTTCAATGATTAACCAAGGGAGAGGTTGTCTGGAATAATACAAGCCTCGCTATCAATGTGTAAACGTTTACGTGAAAGGATGCGGATAGTTGAGGTCAATGGACGGGGTTGGTTGGCTAGTTCGGTACTTATGTTTTGTCAAAAAATGCACCATGTGGTGCGTATTTAAGGATCATTTTGATGTTTTTCCTTCTTACGAACTTGTTAAGGATTTGCGATGTTGTTAATAATCATTTAAGCTTACCGACACTTAATTCAATCAACCGTCACAAGACCACATTTCATGCAGTTTGTTCCTAAAATAAAATTATTAATAATTACCCATTTTCGTAGTGTCAGTTAACATAACATAACATGACGCCTTTTATCACCGAAAGGGAAAGCAGAGGTGCACATTACGGCACTTAATGCCACTGTATGACTGTACAATATAACACCCACTTTTCACTATGTATGTTATGAGTCTCATGTAATAGGGCCCGGTATATGGCAATAGGCTCATTGTCATATACCGGGCACATTTTCAGACTCCAACTTGCTACCACTGAGAATTTTCTGAAAAACCCAGTAATATTTTGCACGACCCGAGTATCAAACCCGAGACCCCTTGGTGGCAGTCACACTTGCGACCACTCGGCCAACGAGCCAGTCAGTTTCATTTAAATAAGTGTTGAAAAACCATGCCTTTGTATATATAATATTCTATTCTACACATCTCTTAGATTTCTTTGAATGTAAAATACACTTGAAGGAATAATATATTTACTACTAGCTGTGCCCGCGACTTCGTTCGCGTAGAATAGTGACTATGAGCAGCGTTTTTTTTTTAAATATATACTTATTTTTATTTTAGACTAGCTGTGCCCGCGACTTCGTTCGCGTAGAATAGTGACTATGAGCAGCGTTTTTTTTTTAAATATATACTTATTTTTATTTTAGATATGGATCACAGTCATTTTGGGTAGCTAAAAAACCTACTTTACTGTAATGCTTCTCTATATACAATATTAGACGTATGGCCATCGGCGTTGAAAGCATACAGGCTGCTGGGATTGCTAACACGGGACAGAGCCACATACAATTGACCGTGCGAAAAACAGCTGATACTTAGATCTATACCCACAACTTTTAGAGTCTGACCTTGAGCTTTATTAATTGTCATGGCGAAACATAGGCTCACTGGAAACTGAATTCGTTTAAAATTAAACGGAAAATTTTTTGGAATGAGAGGAATCTGAGGAATAAAACCACTATCACCTTTTCCGCACCCTGTTAAATATATATATATTTATAAGCCATTTCTGAGATTAGCGTGAACAGACAAACAGACAAACAGACAAAAAAAAAGTTAGTTACATTTTTGGGTTCGACATCGACATAACAATAGCCCCTGCTATTTTTTTTATTTTTATTTTCAATGTACAGACAGCACTTTTCTACAATTTTATTATATGTATAGATAGATAGATAGA